AAATGTTTAGATCCACCTTTAAATTTGATTAAAGATAGTGATGTATTTTGTTAAACTTGTTGGTTTGAGTAAATGTGGACAAGTATTACAATTGTAATAATGATACTGACAGATGTCAAATGGACAGTGGGAGTCATTTTTGACTGATACATTTTAGGTCCTATATAATTTCTATGGGAATATAAAATTTGGGTCTTTATAGACACAGGGCAGGACACAGTTAGGTATATACAATGTGAATAAAAAAATCCATAATTGTAATTAATTCTCTCATGTGTTGTTTGTATATTTGCTGTTTCGCAGCGAGTGGTAAATGATCTAATTTTTGCTGCCACTTAAGCATCAAATATTTCATTAAGCTACAGGTATCATGCTATTTAGTGGTATTGCGTTGTGCGTTTAATGCGCTGTTTTGTTTCTTCCGTGTGTAGATAGGTAGCATTATAATTATATCAGCAACAGCTGTTGTTCTGTGAATATATACTTGAGAAAAATCATATGTTCACCCAGTTAGTTTCCTCTGGCAGCTTTCAGAGCATAAAGAGAACCCTTAAATGTTCAGAAGCACCATCGGCTACAACTCAGATCATTGTGTTTCACAAATTTCCAATTTGTGGTGAACTAATTGGAACAGATAGCAGCAAGAAGACCTAACTAAGCATTTGAAAGTCTTTACCCTTACTTAATAGCATGTTATTCAACCTTCCAACTCCTTGCTGGTGTCTCCTAAATGAAACCTAAGCCAGAGTGAGAAACGTGTGTGTAAGGCATGAAGGTGGGTGTGCCATAATCGGAGCAGAACTGGTCAGTTACTGGGGCAAATTACAGGGGAAAAAAAACGTAGACAAACACAGGCATTGACATAGGCATTTCAACATAAAGCTTCCAAGTTTCCAGTACAGTACATAACTAGTACAGAGCTTTTTATGTAAATGCAACTGAGTAGTTACTGTGAGAACATTCAGCACTATGGAGATACAGTTCACCCCCACAGCTCTGCTAGGAATCAGTGTGAGCAGCTCTGCAGCAGGAGACTGTGTTCCTCTAAGCAGAAAATCTACAGCAAATCCAGCTGCATTAAAAACTGATAGCCAAGTGTTTTGATTATTTTTTGAAGGACTATATTTACTGACAGTCTAATACAAGCAAAAAAAACCTTCTTTTAGCTTTAAAAGACTACTGTTGGGATTTTCTAAACATTTATTTTTAACTGTACTGCACATGTACTTGCAGAAGTGCAACTTTCAGAGGCACAAAATGTTGGGAGGAGAGTATTTGAATGAATCACATACAAATTTAAGGTTTGCAGCGAGCGATTTATTGGCAACTGTATCAAATTCAACTCTGAAAATTGTCTTATTTTGTGTATGATGAGACGGTGTGATAATTTCTGCTAGAAGTGTCAGCTCATCTGGATTGCCAGAGGGAGATGTTATCAGAACAAGTGTATGATTGGCATCAGCGGATTGCTCAAGCTGTGAGCACACCAAAACTCTAGGCTCTTCAGTGAGTTCTCCACTATTTAGAGCTCAGCCCTGCATGTTTCTGGTCCTCAGTAACGCTGATATGTTTATAAAACAGAGCAGAACTTAACTTCATGTGAAGCATCAGAGGGAAAGGGAGAATCCCAATACAAGATCCACACAGAGCTGTGGGATGTTTTGGGTAACGCAGACAGCCATGTTACTTTTTAAAGTAGTGAATGGGTTTGTAGTGTTTCAGGTTTTTAGTCACAGAGATCCGTCATGGAGTGGTTTCTTTGTGTATTTTGATTTTTCTTCCTCTTATTTCTGATTATTTTAAAGCTCTCTATCTTGCTACTCGTGGACCAGATCAGAAGTATGCTGGATTTAAGTCAAAATCTAACAACATGTAAAATTAACTTTAATTAAATACCTGCAGCCTTGCATGTAATGCAAATAAAAATACCAGTGTGCACACTTATGCATGTAGCAAAGCAGCAGTAACTTTATTAACACATGTACAGCTCAGGATCTGAGAATGAATGAAGTTTTGTGTTGTTTTTTGGGTTTTTTTACAAATCCTACAGGACAGCTATATACTGACAGTTTTCAGTTTTATGCAGTGAGATAGTTTGTTGAAAGCAGCACTCTTCTGGATTAATCGTGCATTCCAACTGAGCTGTCAGATTTATCCAGAGATCACACAAACTTATCCGTACAGAGTCCTCAGCTATTCCTAGCAGAAGACTTCGCCTTTATATCAAAACATATCCATTCTCCTTCAGCTGCGTTTCCTTGATCTGAACTGCCATGTTGTTTTTCTGGAGAAAACCTATATTATAATGTATTATTTTGGTAACCAGATTGCCCTCACCCTTGTTATTTATTATTGAAATGAACTGCCTTTGTCTTTGCTTATTAATCTGGGCCCATGTATGTAAAAGGTCTATTTAAAGAGTTGGATAGTGTAGGTATTTTTTTAATCCACTGCACTTTATCAATGGTGCATTAGCATTTGTGCGTATAAGTGTGATTGCTGAGGTTTCTTTCTAATATTGTAGCGTATTTTTCCGCCTTGAGGCAACTGTTGTTGTGAATTGGTGCTATATAAATAACATTGAATTGAACTGAACTGGATCAGTAAAGATGAATGGATCTGACAAAATCAGGTGTGCTCCAATGAGTCAGCAATGAGAGCACAGAGATAAATATAGTCAATCCAACTTCTATCTAATGTGCTGCTATGTAGCGCTGATTAGAGCTGTTGTCAGATAAAACTTATTGTTTCCTATTCCCTTTCAATGACTGAACAATTCATTTGTAAAACATTTGTTTTCCTCAAGGGGAGGAGATTTTAGAAATGTCGCACTGCAGAAATAAGACTTCAACAACGGCTACAAGTCTGTGATTTATCCCTCTTGTGGGTAACTTCTACTACATTTGCTCTCCCAATGGGAGGAGGAAGAGCTGGGTTCAAATCTAGTCTGCTGCAGGAATCTGACTAAACACTGCACGCTTCACTGATTCAGTAATGTGAAAGCACTGAGAGGGTTGTGGTCTAGGGAAAAAAACACACACACACACACACACACAAATGAATGCCATTTGCAAAGGGAAAAAAAGCTTAAATTGCTATCAGCACTTGTCCTTGACTCGGTAAGGGTAAATGGAATATTTTGTGGTATTAAATTAAGGAGAACTTCAGAGTCAATGCAGATTGGCAAAATGATAAATCTATGGTGTATTGCACTTGCTGATGAGCCAAATCCAAAGGAAACAACATTCCATTACACAATGGAGTAAGTACAATTAGTATGAACTTCACTTCACTCAAGAATATCTTTCCATTGCGAAGAGAAACACATATTTTTGTGCCTTATAAGTTGCCTAAAACATAAATAAAGTGCTAAATATATAAATCAAGAGGTGTAAAGATCAATCTGTACAAAGCTACACAACATACGTACATAGCAAATCTCTTGTGTACTTCCTATTCTTGCTTTCTCTCACCTCTTCTCAATCTAACATATCAAAGACTAAAATATATTTGCATTGCACTTATTTCCCCTCATCATCACCTAAACCAAACCTG